TTGCTTATATATTATATATATATATACTACAGGCCTAGTGCATGAATTCATGCACCAGTGGGGTCCCTCCGCCTGGCCTGCAGGAATCGGGCTGAAACTGGTTCTCCGACCTCCGAGGGGTCCCAGATTGCGAGAGGGCTCAGGCCAGGCTGAGGGACCCCCATCGGTGCATGATTGGGGCCAGGGATGGATGCAGGAAATTGGCCAGCCAGAGAGGGACTGCAGGAGGGATCAAGGGCATGTCTGGCCCATCTTGTTCAGTCCTGATCAGCCGGACCCCAGCAGCAGGCTAGCCTACCAGTTGGAGTGTATTCCGACTGGTGGTCAGTGCACATCATAGTGACTGGTCGACCAGTCAACTGTCTGCCCCTTGGTGATTCAGTGAACATCATAGCGAGTGGTTAAGTGGCCTTAGCATATCATTAGCATATTACACTTTGATTGGTTGAACAGATGACTGGATGACCAGACACTTGGCATATTAGGCTTTTATTATATAGGATTTACATATCTTTATATATTTTTAAATATATCCTTTGGGTATACACCTAGAATTTGAATTATTGGACCTTATGATTATTCTATGTTTAAGTTTTTGAGGAACCACCTAATTGACTTCCACAGTGGCAACACCTTTTTATATTTTCAACAGCAATGCAGAAGAGTTCCAATTTCTGCATATCTTCATCAATACTTGTTAATGTCCATTTTTTCAATAAAAGCCATCCTAATGGATATAAAGTACTATCTCACTGTGGTTTTGATTTCCATTTCCATAATAACTAAGGATGATGAGTACTTTCTTCATGTTTTATCGGCCAGTCACATATTTTCTTTGGAGAAATGTTTATTCAGTCCCTAGCCATTTTAAAATAAAGTTATTTGTCTTTTTATTTTGTAAAATATTTTTAAAAAATATGTTCTTAATGATATTAGAGAGAGGACAGGAGAAAGACAAAGGGATAGAAATATCAAGGATGAGAATCATTGATTGGTTGCCTCCCACACACTCCCTACTGGGGATTGAGCCCTGATCGGGAATTGAATCAGGACCTCCTGATTCATGGATTGACACTCAACCACTGAGCCACACTGGCCAGGCTGTCTTGCTACTTTTGAGTTGCAAGAGTTCTATTATACTCATTATATTAGCATGGTCATCTGTTTTTATTTCTTTTTGATAAAAATCTAGGAGTAAGCTTTCTGGAAATTAGTTTTATAAGAAACTGCCAAGTAATTATTCAAAGTGCTTATATTAATACTAGAGGCCCGATGCACAAAGATTCGTGCAAGAATAGGCCTTCCTTCCCCTGGCTGCTGGCACCAGCTTCCCTCTGGCACCCGGGACCAGGGCTGCTTCGCTCCAGCTGCCACCGCCACCCACCATGGGCATGCTCCGAGCTGCCCACGGTTGCTGGGAGCACACCCCCCCACCCCCTGGTATGTGTCTGCTGGGGTGGGGGCGGCATGCAGTCCCCTCCCGCCCATCTGCGCGTGCAGCTTCTCCTGAGACGTTGTGATGCAGCCTCCTCCTGAGCTGGTCATGACCATTACGGCGTCCCGGCCTAATTGACATATTACCCCTTTATATATATATGTATATATATTTCCACAAGAAATTTATGAGACTTCCAGTTGCTCTGCATACTTAAAAACCTTTGATCTTGTCAATCTTTATAATTTTAGCCATTTGATAAGTGTGAAATGGTATCTTATTGTGATATATAATTTATGTTGCTCTGATGACTAATGATGTAATGTACTTTTCACAATTTCATTGACCATTCACTCATCATCTTTTATGAAGTGTATGTTCAAGTCTTTTGTTCATTTCTAATTTGGCTATTTGTTTTTTTCATTGTTTTTTTGTGTGTGTAGGAATTCCTTTTATATTCCAGATCTGAGTCTTTTGTTAGATATATGTTTTGTGCAACCTGGGCATGTGCCCTGACTGGAATTGAACCTGAGTCTTTTGTTAGATATATGTTTTACAATGATCTCTCTTTTCCTCTTCCCAAAACTCTGTGACTTGCCTATTTATTTTTTAATTCATGCATTCTATAAGGATACATTTTTATTTTTATAAAGTCAAATTTATTAAATTTCTAATTTTATATTTAGTGCCTTTTCATTCTAAGAAATATTTGCCTATCCTGAAGTTATAAAGATAGTCTATGTTTTCTTCTAGGAGTTTTATGGTTTTAGGTTTATATCTATGAGAGATACTAAATTAATTTGTGTATGGAGAGAGGTAGGGGTTGATGTTCTTTTTCTTCTCCTCCATAAGGATATCCAGTTATTGCAGCACCACTTATTAAAACAACCCCCCATTGGCTTATCTTGAAACTGTGGATTGAATTATATTGGCCCTATATTTGTGGATTTTTCTCTGGAATTTCTCTTCTATGTCATTCATTTATCTACCCTTACACCAATTCCACACTATCTTAATTATATCCAGGTTTTTAAAGCATTAAAGTTTTGAAAGCATCTATTTAGTACCTATTTCAGACTCTATATATGTTACTAATGACCATCATATAAAGTAGACATTATTTCCTACCATCTATTCCCTCATATCATCATAATTAGAATATAATACAAGTTGAATAGGACATGCTTGAACAAGTCTATGTTATTATGAATGCCATATTTTTTTCTACCTTTCTAGAAATTAAGTGCGTGTGCCTTTGATCGACATTTAAGCTCTGTCCAAATTAGGCCCTCATACTGCTCTAGCTATGTCTCGTAACTTTTCTTAAAAGTACTGAAAGTTCTAAGCAAACTAGACCTCTCACAGATTTCTAAATATACTCCACCCTTTATTGCATGTGCTATTGCTGGCATGCATTCTCTGTCCACCATTTCTGCACCTAAATTCAGCTAATATTTACATTTCCATCTCTAAAACTCTCTCCATCAAGCTGTTACTGAGCCTAACAAACAAATGTGATACCTTCACCTCAAAGTTCTTACACCATGTTGTAGCTCTGATGGCAGTCAGGATATCCTGCCTTATATTTTTTTCTGTATTCTTGACCAATTTTATCCCTAGAGAAAAAAACCTCTTCTAGAAGGCAGTGTATTAATTACCTTTGTATCTCTTGACTAGACATTTCAACAAATTTTAGTGAAAGAAATTTGTGATTAAAATTAAAGAACATTTTAAAAAGTGACCAGGTTAACCGAGCATGGGGTTCAGGATAATCCCCAAATTTATTCTGTTAATTTAATCCCCTATTTTATTTTATTTTCAAATCAGAACATTCCAATTGGAGGATTCTCAGGACTGTAGCAGAGATTTTGTAGAGATCCGGGAAGAAAATGCCACCGGTCACCTGGTGGGGCGATACTGTGGAAACACCCTCCCCCTCAATTACTCATCCATTGTTGCGCACAGCCTGTGGATCAGATTTGTATCCGATGGCTCAGGCAGTGGCACAGGCTTCCAGGCCACGTTTGCTAACAGTAAGTTGGTTCTGTTTTAGTGATGGCTTCCAGAATGAATCCTACAAACTGGAAAGGCCAACACTACTTTCAGGAATGTGCTGGGAATAGTCCTGAACTCTACACAATTCTCCTATATGTATTGTCCTTGTGGGATTACTTCATTATGTAATATATTAGAAAAACTACATTACATATGAATGGCTCCTTAAGAGCCAGTAAGAATGCTCAAGGGTTCTAATATTTTTCTTAAGCTTAGTTCTACCTAATTGTTAAATTGAATTTTTCTTGATAGTGTGTTATTCTTTGAAGGTATTATAGTTCAGGGTTGGTATATGTAGAATCAAATGTGTTTGATCCCATAAAATTTATATTCTTCAAATTAAAAACATTTAATGCTTTGGAATTGACTAAGTTGCTCAATTATAACAACAGGGTATTCTTCTAAAAGCATAAATGTTCATTTTTTTTCTAACTCAACTTTTCCATAATTAGCTAATGTATGTGAGTGTGTGTGTGTGTTTCCCAAATGTCAGATCCTTTTATATAATTTTTATAAACATGTTTTAGTCTCTTATAAGACAAAG